GAGCTTAATTGCGCGGATTATTGCGGTTCAATTCCTGATACCAAGTACAGATTACCACATATAGTCACACGACAAATGATTCAAGCCATGGTGGAAATTACCGACTTGAATGCTGCCACTGTGCACAAGCGACACGTGGATCAAATCCACTTCAAATCATCCACGGACCGGTGGCATCAAGAAAAAAGCGAGGGCGACAGTCAGTTGCATACCCCATCGGCACAACCGACGGAGCCGCATGAGTCAGATGTGCAGAAACAACCAATCGAAACACAAGGACACCGCCAGGAACAGGCGCAGACAACAATTGCAGTCCGCAGGTCTAGCCGTCAGGCGAGCCAGATTGATGAGGCACTCTTGAGGGAACAGAGTTGTGGTGATCCAGACTTCCGTGACCGCAATCCGTGCACGACTAGGTACAGTTTCATGTCATCCAATCACCGTTCAGGAAGCTCGACCAATGGTACACTGGGCGAACGTGACATCCGAGTTAGTACATATGATGCGTCGGCGCAAACGGTTACGTAATTTGACGACGGCCCTTCAACCAATCATATGAGATACTTCCTTCTATAAAACATGCTCTAATTCTATCAATAAACATAAGCATTTGCTGCCATCAATTCCTTGTGTATTTCATTGATGTCCGCAGTTTGGGTTGGAGCCAATTTAGTTCTGAGCAGTACAGTACGGATTCTCGTACACCTAAATTCAATACTATTCTGATTACTACATGGAGTTTAGCCCGTTTTAAAATTTCACTATGGCACACTTCGAAAACTGACAAAGGTTAGTTTTATTTCGTAATCGGCGATGATCTTAGGCTGAAAGTTTCATAATAGTATTTAGAATAGGTTTTGACAGCTATATGGAAGGTGTAATCCCTAAAGATTGGGTATTGGTAGATTTCCCCTCCGAGAACTCGTTCATTTATTTTAACGAATAATTATTTTATTTTTGTGAGTCAAATTATTTTCCCTTCAATTTTTTTGGTTGTTTGCTGCCTTATTGAAACCGGCGTTATGTTTAGGGTCTGTCATACGCGAAATAATTTTTGAGCAACAGTGGTCTCTATTTGGGGTTTTTTCATTGCTTGGAGAATGGGGATCGATGAAATGACCTTGAACTATTTGAATCATGCCGCGTTTGGATGCTGCGCGCTTACCCATGTCACCAGTCCATCACGTCACTAGGGGCGTGCCACAAGGGTCGGTGTTAGGCCCGCTTCTTTTTCTGATGTTCATAAAAGGTCTAGCAGAAATTTTCAGCTCATCTTGCTTCATCTTCGCTGATGATGTATAGGTGGTTGGATCTATTGGAAGATCACAATTGGAAGAGGATATTGTGAAGGTGGTCCAGTGGTCCCACACATGGGATCTGCCACCAAGTGCAGCAAAATGCCACTTGGTCTCAAGAACCCAGGAACCACTGAAGGCTCTAGGTGGCTGAGGGCAATTCGAAGCAGGCACTGTAACCAGAGCCAGGGATCTAGGAGTCATAGTAACTGCAGATTACATTTGGGGTACCCAATGTGAAGCTGCAGCACATACGGCAAGACGACAGCTGTTTAGACTAAGGTCAGTAGTTTCGTGTAGAAAAGCAGCTGTATTTATACCTATCTACAAAGCGATTGTAAGGCCTCATCTAGAATACTGTGTGTAGGCTTGGTCGCCCTTCTACAAAAAGGACGCCGCCTGTCTGGAGCGGGTTCAGAGACTGGCAACACGGATGGTTGAGGGTATGCGGGGAAAAACATACAAAGAGAGGTTGTACGCGCTCGGTCATTTTTATTAGAAAAAAGGAGATTGCGCGGAGACCTCATCGAAGTATTGAAGATTAAGAAAAATTTGCTCCGTCTAGATCCTGGGTCCTTCTTCACTGAGGCCTCTCACCAAGAAGCGCGTGGACATGAGCTAAAACTCATGAAACAGCGTTCTAGGCTGAACTTACGAGCACATTCCTTTAATAATATGGTAGTGGATAATTGGAATAAGCTGCCGTCGGAACTGATTATGCAATCATGTGACCAGGCCTTTAAAAAAGCTCTGGACGCCAGATGGTTGGAGCTTTTCCCTGACATAGAACGTTAGGTGGGTAAATTGTTTTTGCGTAATGTGGAACGCTTCATCAACAACACGGCGAGAAGTAAAGTCTCTCTTTCTCTCTGTTCGCAGATAGAAGGAGAAAACGATCAATCACAGAAGTGGACGCACACTCCGCATATCACCGAAGGAATTCTGGACGCGTGATTGGCCTGTGGCCACTGTCAGTCCTGTGCAACCTGGTCTGACCTAACCTAGCTTT